TGTTAGCCACAGCCCTTCTAGACTGAGCTCATCAGGGTTTCAGAACCTTCTTTTGGTAACTCAGCTTTCCCAGGCTGCCTCCGACAACCCTCAGCCTGCTCCTTCAGCAGATGGGAGCAGTGGGATGCTCTCAAAGGCTGGGCCATGGGAAGTCTGGGAGAACAATGTTGCTGAACTGTTAGAAAGACGTAAAATGCAGCATAGGGATTTATTAACAACATGTGCTTCTACTCAGAGGACAGACCTCCAAAGTTAATAGATTAAGGACCAAAAAAAAAAAAAAAAGAGTCTGAGAAAGAAGACACACAACTGCCAAGAAGCTAATGGCCTCTTGGGGGAGATGGGGCACGAGGGGATAGAACAATGAGAGGGAACGCCCCTCAAGTCACTGCTCTGTCTTTTAACCAGAAGAGGCTTCCCCCTGGAGCCTCTGCGCGAACTCCGTTCTCTTCATTCCAGGCTCCGCCAAGGCTGCCTCACATTCCTCAGGCCATGCCTGCCCCTGGTTGACGGCAAGCATGGCGGCTGCAGCATACTGACCTCATGCATGATGCAGCCAAAATCATCATCTCCTCACAGAAGGATTTGTTCATCACAAACCAGGGCCTCCAAGGGCAGGCTGGCAGCTTGGAGAGAATCAGGTGCCTTGCTGGGCTACCTGCCTCCAGGTACTCCCCCTCCCATCGATCTGTCCCACACCCTCCTGTCAGATTAATTTTCTAAAAACCCCTATGTGCGCATAACAGCCCCTCCCCAAAAACATCCTCATGAGAGTTCCCCATTGCCCACAGGGTAAAACCCCAAGTCCATAAGGAGACCCTCATTTTTAGGGAAAAAGGGAAGAAGCCAGTGGAGAGAAAGACACAAGATGCTCAAGACAAGTGGCCGATGGATGCAATGTAGAGCAGGGGGAGGAGTCGCTATTCCTCCTCAAAGAGAGGGGTTTTCATAACGCCTCTCATTCTGCGATGGGATAGGAAGGGGAGGATGGAGCTTGTGAAAAGGCTGAGCCAGTTGGCCCTGACCCTCTCTAACCTGACTGTGAGTGCAACGGGGAGAGCCCTGGCGTTAGATGAGTTAGTTTCAAATACTCCCTCTGATGATGACTCCCTGTGCGTAGTATACCTGCTGCTTCCCTGAGCCTCAGTTTCCTCCCCTGTAAACCAGGGGGCTTGGACTTCCCTGAAGTCACTTTCAGCTCTGCATTTCTGAAGTAGGATTCTCTCAGCCTCACCACTCACTGATTTCCCAACATGAACCCTTCCCTTTAGCTACCCTGGCTCCCAAACACAAACAGCCTCTGTCCTGCTGCTTGTTCAGATTCTATCTGTTACAGTCCAGACCCTCCATCTCTTCCAGCACGGGCCCCTGGAGTCACAAAGTAATAGAGAGGAAACCTATAATTATCTAAGCCCTTCCTTGTGCCTACACAGTTCTGGCTAAAAGCTATGGGGGAAGAAGAAACAGGCACATTCATGTGCTGCTGATGGAACTGTGAACTGGTCCAGCCATTCTATTCTAGAAAGCAGCTTGGAACAATGTTCCCAAAGTCACTAAAGTGTGTATGCTTTTGTGTTATCACCACTAGGTCTATACTCAAAAGAAATCAAGACAAGAGGAAAAGATCCCCAAATTCATAGAGGTATTGATAAGTACTCTTTTCATAGTGATAAAGAACAGGAAAGGGAAGTAGTGCTCATCAAATAGAGATTGGCAGAATAAATTATAATCACTAACCTCTACATAGTGCCTACTATGTGCCAGGCACTGTGCTAAGTTCTTTACAATTAAGATCCCATTTGATTCTCACAACTACTCTGGGAGGTGGGTATTATTATTACCCCCCATTTACAGATGAGGAAACTGAGGCAAACAGGGTTCAGTGACTTGCCTAAGGTTACATAGATAGTACATGTCTGAGGCTGGATTTGAACTCAGGTCTTCCTGACTAAGCCAGGCTCCTTATTCACTGCACCACTGAGCTGCCCTATATAAATGGGGATGGTTTGAGAGAAGCCTAGAAGACTTGGATGAACTAATGCAAAGTAAAGTGAGCAGAACCAGGAGAATGACTCGTAACAAGAACAAGAACATTGTAAAGACGAACAACTGAAGAACTCTGCTTGATGCCGCGACTGATGATGACGCGCACTAACACGTCTGCTGATAGACAGGTAATGGACTCCAAATGAAGTTTTGGGACATTTGGGACAGGTTCAATGTGGGATTTTGTTTTGCTTAATTATATGTATTTGTTACAAGGGTTTTGTTTTACTTCTCTTCTGAATGGGGGAAAGGAGAGAAAACAAATGCTTGCTCACTGAAAAACAAAAGATGAAAGGTCTAGGAAGAAGCTTGCTCCATGCATGTATGGATACCTCAGGAATGGCCCATTACAACTCACTAACCCTCTTTGTCTCTCAAATATAAGCCTGTTCTATTCAGGGATGATTCCACCCTGTTCATTTGCCACACCTGGGGCCTTATGTATCTGGCTGGGCGTCCTCTCTTCTTCCATTATCATCTTGTACAACATTCCTCAAAGCCTGGTCCACTATTAACTTTTCTCAACATTATCCATCCCAGGTCAAATGACACACTATCTCCATGAAGCTTTCCCTACCCACAATGATCTCTCTTTTCCTTGAACTTGTCTATACCACTTATCTGGCACTAATCCCATACTGTCCTGTGCTATTTCTTGGACTGATGTTTTGTGTTGGTAGTTAACTCAGCATGTGTCTGATCACTACAACTAGAACTTAACTTTCCTGAGGGCAGGTCCCTTGCTTCATACTTCTTGGGGTCCCTGAGGTGCCTGTAATCCAGCAGACATGGAGTAAATATTTGTTGAATGAACAAAATAAATGAAAATTCAACTCTTCATCCTGTGGTTCCCCCCCCTTTTTTTGTATAGAAGCTCTAGCACATTTGCATGCTCAGCTGTGAATAGAATGAGGGGAGCTGATTTCCGTGACTCACCTCCTGATGACCTCAACAAGTCTCCTCCCTCGCTCCCTCATACTCAGATCTAGAAGGGTCCCTTTGAGGCAGCGGGCTCTAGTGAGATATGAAGTCAGGAGGGAGCCAGATGCCAAATACTGGCTCTTTGGCTTTCTCACTGTGTGACTTTAATAAGCCACTTTACTTCTTCAAGCCTCAGTTTCTTTCCCTGTAAATCAAAGACCACTGAACTTGTACCCCTTCATCATGAGGCAGCTGTAAACCTTAATTACAGAATGCTCAAATCTTCAATGCACCAGTGATCTCTTCAGGTGGCTGCTACCTCCAATCCATCTTGATCCTACGCAGAGGCTCCACCTGTGAGGCTGGGGGATGGGAATCTGCCTTGAGGTTTTTTTACATTCTGTGGGTGCCACCAGTGTTACCCTCACCCTTGCCCTCTCTCAGACCAGCTCACCTCCCTTGAAAGAGCAACTAAGACGGCAAACAGGATTGCCAGCTTGAGGACAGGGGTACGCCCACTGTACCATGGATTCTGTGGGAAGGTGAGCCTGGCCAAGAGCAGCCTCTCGCGGGGAGGGGCATGGGATCCCAGCTCTGCCATCTCTCATTCCCAGGGTCATGCAGACAAGTAAGCCTTAGCCCCACCCCCCTGCCAAAAGCCCTGGGCACAAGGATGGGTTCCAGCACAAACCACATGTGTGGCCTTGGGGCATCACCTCACCTCTCCAGGCCTCATCTGTAAAATGAGGGCTGAGTGATCTCTAAGGCCCCTTCCAGCTCTGCTATTTTATGATTTTAAACAAGTGCTCCCAGAACTCCTCTCTGACGAGGCTGTGCCCCGTTCAGAAATCTTCAGGGGTGCCGACTGCCTGTAGGAGAAATAGTCAAATCCTGGCACTGAAAAACCTCACAGGCTGGTTCCGCACCCCTTCTGGTCTTGGTTCCTGGTTTGTTCGTCCTGTACACATTACATCCAGGCCAGACTAGCCTGGGAGCTCATCCTCATCCCTATAAGCAGCCCAAGCTTCCTGAAAAGGACCACTCAGAAGCCACCTCCTGGATGAGGCCTCTCCCAATCCCCTGAGTTGTTACTGTTTTATCCCTTTGAATGGCATTTTGTATTACTTGGTTGATAATTCATAAGTACTCATCTGTATACATGTCCCACCCGAGTACAATGAACATTCCTTAAAGGCAAGGATTATTTCCTTTTTCTCCTTGTATGCCCAGGACCAAGCACAGAGTTTTGCATCCATCAGGTGCTTAATAAATATTTGTTGAATCAAAGGCTCCTTTATGCCTTAGTTTCCCCATCTGTAAAAAGCATCTGCACCCAAAACCTCTCTCCTAAGGTCATGCTGGCTAGCTACAGGATGGTGCTGACGAGGTGAAGGGTATAGGGATGTCTTCATTCCTTTTATGGGTCACTTAGTTTCATACCAAGGAAAACTGTTTCTGAGTCAAGGAGGTGCTTCTCCACTCCCCCTATTTATTTCTTCCTGAAATATATGGTCACCAGAAAACTGCATGTATATAGACAGGCAACTCGGTGCACATGAGCATGACTGTGGAACATGGTCTCACAGGGTGAAGAGTACCCACATGCACAAAGATGGCAGTCAGAATGGCCTTCGTAGAAACCCTGAGGGCGGGATCACAGCTGATCCCTGGGGCTCATTTAGTTCTGGTTCTGTCACAGGATCTGGATGTAGCCTTAACCAGTCTCCACAGAAAGGAGTTGGCCAGGCAGCTGGGGGCCCAGAGTTTACCCATCTAAGGACAAATACAACAGTCACATCCCTCATCATTAGCCAGAAAACATGGAGATGACCCACACTCAAGGGCCTGGTTTCTGAGCACATACCTAGTGCTTATGGTCAGGACGTGAAGAGAAGGGAGAACATGGCGCTAGACTTGGAATGTGAGAAATTGTTTCTTTTCTCTTTACAATGAAGGTCAAGGCCATCAAAGGAGAGAGGGACAGGTGTGCATGGGAATTAACACTCTGGAAAGCGGTTTGTACCTCCTCCTACCTTGGATGCCATAGAGTCGGTTGAGACGTGACCTCCGGGCTTCATCAGTGTAGGGGACAGCGAGCCAGGGCATTTCACTGAAATACTGTTTGAAGGAGTCCTCTGACCTATGGAGAACAGGGCACCCAAAATGAGAATGGCCTCGCCCCCCAACCCGAACACCCCTGGGTCTTCCACTAATTCTTTCCAGGCATTGCCCCAAACTAAAGATATCCTGCTGTTTACTATTTCCCTTCCTAGACACCTTGGGAACTACCCAGTTCTAAGAAGGCTTCACCTATAGGCAAATGCAGGGCCCTAGAAATCATGTGCAGATCCCCAAATGAAATGTCAAGCCCTTTCAATGTTTTGTAGACTGTTCTATCCCACCTTTTCGCCAATTCAATCCATCTCTTTCAAGTCTTCTAACAGGGAAAGGTTATTTGAAAGAGGCTTGCCATCTGCACCACCACATCATATTCCCTGGTGCATTTCTTGCTTGTGTGCCTGCCAAGGAGTCCTATTTTAGGGTCAAATGGCACATGGACACTTGAACTTCATATGCCATGTGGATATACAGTGTTCTCATGCGCTGCTGGGACAATGGAGAACAGAGAATGAAAACTTCATGAGGGCAGGATCCCACTCTAATTTTCTCTCCAGATTCACAGTGCTCATCTTTGAGTAGGTGCTTAAATGCTTGCTGGACTGGCACCAAATGAGAGTGAAGAATGGAGATAGCTGAGGTAGGGCCAGTGGGCAGACGGACCCTCCCAACACCTTAGTTTGTTGGCTTAGGCCCAACTTGTGAACAAGAGCCTGGAGGTGAAGAGGCCAAGGAGAACAGAAATGCCTCCTGGGACAGAGACTGAGACTCGGAGACAGCCCAGCTCCTGGGTGAGCAAAGCCATCGGGTAGAATCCCACCCCCACCTCCGCCAGTGTCCAAAGCCCTCTGCCCTCCTGCTGCTCCCACTGCTCACGCACAGGCCTCCGGCATGTCAAGAAGCCCCCAGCTACAACTGACTCTCTGCAGCTGAGAAGAAACAAACCACTTTCCCAGTCCAAACAGGTGGAACATTCTGCAAACATTTGGCTATTTTCCATCCCCACCCCACCATGCTCCTCTGTCATTCACCAGAACGCCAAACACATTTGAAAATGCATTTAATCCCAATCTGCTCTTTCACAGAGACCAAAGAATGTCAGAGTTGGATGGGAACTTGGAGAGCTCTGGCTCAACCCGCCCCTCCCCCCCTTCACAGATGAGGCACGGGAATGTGAAGATGCCTCAGTATTCAAGTCAGGAATGGATTTTTTCTCATCTTCTGGTCTACAGGAGTAAGTGTGAAAGGTGTTTGTTCTCTCTCCAATGATCACGAATGTGTTTAACTTTTTAAAAAGCTACAGGAGGGTGTCGTGTGTGCCACACATTCTGAGGGAAGCAGGGAGGAAGACGCCTCCAGTTTCACAGCAAATATTACCTGTCGGCACTAACAAAAATAATCTCAAATTTCTGTCCCGACTCTTTGATCTTCCGGTAAGACTCCACCAGGACTCGGGTGAGACTTCGGCAAGGCGGACACTGACAATAAAGAAGAAATGCTGTACTTTTAAAAACGCTTAAGATACCTCCTTTCATTTCTCAGAAGTGCCACCTGGTAAATAACCTGGTTGAGGAAAGGTTCAGAAACAAACTCTCTCCTCCCAGATGTCAAATACTGAGTAAATTCCTCCTGCCTTAGAACTTCCCTGGAGGGGCAGCTAGGTGGAGCAGTGGATAGAGCAACAGCCCTGGAGTCAGGAGGACCTGAATTCAAATTCGGCCTCAGGAACTTACTAGCTCTGTGACCCTGGGCAAGTCACTTAACCCCGACTGCCTCCAAAAAAAGAAAAAAAATTTGGGGCAGCTAGGTGGGGCAGTGGATAGAGCACTGGCCCTGAAGTCAGGAGGACCTGAATTCAAATCTGACCTCAGACCAAACACTTGACACTTACTAGCTGTGTGACCCTGGGCAAGTCAGTTAACCCCAATTGCCTAATTTAAAAAAAAAAAAAAGAAAAGAAAAAAAATTCTCTGAAGATCATGAGTTCATTCTCTCTCTATACGCTGCTGACAGCTGGTGGGCAGAGAGGCTGTACACTGTACTAGAAAGGACCCTGGTTCCAGACTTACCCATGACACACACTGATTAGGTGACAGTGAGCCAGCTCCTTCCCTTTTCTGGGCCTCATCTCACACCTCTGTAAAATGGAGGTGATTATATTGCCTCCTGCACAGTATTGTTGTGAGGTAAGGGTTTTGCCAACCTTAAGGTGCTCTATGGACGTAAGCTACTGTTGGCCTCCCAAGAATCCCTCATGGTTACCCTGGGCCTGACCAGAAGGGGTAAGGAGGAATATTCTTACTAATGAATATTTAGTTACCAAAGAAGTCATTTCTTTGTATTTATTCTGGTTTTATGCTATTAGTGCCAACAATACACTTGGCACCCCTAAAGGCTGGGAAAATGCCCACTTCACTCCCAACCCCCACCCCCTCCTCCCTGACTAAGCTGTGGTACATTTCATGGCCAGCCACTGCTGAATCAATTCTTTCTCCTGCCTGGATTGATGGCAGGGGCTGGGAGAAGTACTCACCCAGTGGGCAGAAAAGTAAACTCCCACATGAGACCCTTCCAGGCAGCTGCTGTCCAGTGATTGGCCGTTATTTCTAAGCAACGACCCGGCAATGACTTCACTGAAGGGCTTGGGCCCCCAAGGGAATTCCAAACCTGAAACAGGGGCAAGCAGTATCAGACATGTGACTCTGGCTTGAGCACCATTTGGCTTGAACCTGATAGTGGCACACATCTGATCCAGAGACTGTGGCATGGCGGGAAGGTCAGGACACCTGGGTTCAAATTCCACTTCTGGTGCTTATTGGCTCTGGGATCATGAGCAAGCCCCTCAAACTCTCTGAGCTTGCTTCCTCATCAGCAAAATGGGAATAATAATGCTTACATGATCATCCTCAAAGGGCTGTTGTGAAGAAAGTGGCCTGGAAAGCTTAGAGTGCTATCTAAATATTAATATCATTATCATCATTAGTGATCAGTGATTCAGAATTTCTAGTTCTACCTGAGCAAAGGGAGCAGAACCCACATGTGCCATGGTATCTCTTCTCAAGGAGCTTTCAGCCAATGAATTCTTCTACAATTCCTGATCTGGAGCATCACACAGATGGCCTGTGCTAGCCTGAGCTGCAATCTCTTCACCAACACAAATGCATATAACTTGAGAGGTAGTTTTTAATTTAGTATTTCACAGAACCATAGATGTAGAGCTGGGAGGGATGTTGAGGACCCTGAGGCCCAAGCCTCACAGGTAAGAAGGGTCAGAGGTAGGATTTGAACCCAGGTCCTCTTTCCACAGTAAGAGTAATTTATGAAAGTTGCTGTGACAACAACAACCCTCCCTCATGTGGCCAGCTTAGTGAGGAGCCTTTCCCAAATTAGCTTGGCTGATCCTCAGGCAATGGACACTCAGTCAGGCCGTCCCTGGGCCTTGGAAGAATCTGCCAGAGGATCCCATCTCCACACCACTGAGGAACAGGAATAGGATGCGAAGGAAGCTCTGGTGTGGCCCCCTCTTCAGCTCTGAGCTGCCCGGTGCTCCCCAAACAGAGCAGGAGGGGCTGTTTCTGCGGAGGCATAGGAATTGACATAGGTGTCTATGCCTTATATGGCTTTGTTTGAGGGTCATTTCCAAACACTACATGCTACGCTGATTCCAAGAAGCCTATAATTTTCAGAAGTTGACATGTGTTGACACAATGGCTCTTAAAGCCAGCCCTGGGCTCAGAGTTGCTCTGTGAGAACCCCCTCGGGCGCTCGGCCCAGTTTGCCTTGGTCCTCGGTCAGATTCCGGGTCTAAGAGCAGTAGGTGTGGCCTGGGAGGAAGAGCCGTGCCTTTAGGAGTCAGGAGCCCTGACTGGGGGGTCACAGTCAGCAAGCAGCGGTTAGTGACTTTGTATCCTCGGCCCTTAGCACAACTGTAAGTGCACACTGATTAACTGGTGATGGGCGGGCTCCTCAGCCTCTGTGAGCCACAGTGGTCTCATCATAAAGCAGGATAACTGGAGCAATCAGCTGACACCTGGAGCTTTACGGCTGGATCCTCACAGCCGCCCAGGGAGGGAGGTGCTACTGTTATTCCCATTTTACAGATGAGGTAACTGAGGTTCAGAGAGGGACACATCCAGGGTCACACAGCCGGGGTGGCATTTTTACTTCCTCCCAGGGCTGCAGGGAGAAGCAAATGAGACGATACACGTGAAATGGCTTAGAAATCTGTGAGGTGCCACATAAAGATAAGATGGTTTAATGATGAGACACACGAGATAAGACCCTCCCAAGGGACATCCCAATCTGCACTTACACTTTTTTTATTGTTTGTTTTTACATCCCCTCCCTTCCCTTCCCAGGTAGCCATCCCTTATAACAAAGGATTACAAAGAGGGGAGGAGAGATCCTGCAGAACATCCAGATCCCATGCTGCGTGCAGGGTTTGGTGCCTGCATCCTTGCGTCTTTTCTTTAGAGCCAAGGCTGGCCATTATAATTTCACAGCATTCATTTTTCATTGTTTTGTTCTTGTGGTTTCTTCCATTCGCATTGTTGTAAATATTGCACAGACTCAGGAAGACCTGAGTCCAAATCCAGCCTCAGACACTGACTAGCGGTGTGACCTTGGCCAAGTCACTAGACCTCTGCTTGCCTCAGTTTCCTTAATTGTAAAACGGGGATCAAAACAGAACTTCCCCACCAGGGTTGTTGTGAGGATCAAATGAGATGCTACTTGTAAAAAGCACTTAGCACAGTGTGGCTGGCACACCTGAGGTGCCGTGTTCGCTCTTGCTATTACTGTTGTTATTTCTGTAACTATTCTTCTCTTGGTTCTGCTCCCTTCACTCCATACCGGTTCATACCAGTTTACTTTTGAATAAAAATTGGCCACAACTGGGAAAATTCAGTAATCACCATGAAGAAAAGAATCCTCCTAGAGTGACGTAAATCCAGTTATATTTAGAATGTGTTTCCATTCACTGGACTATATCTATTATTGTACACGTGTACTTTGCTTACCTGGGACTTGGGACTAGGAAACGACAGTAAGAGGCCCCCGAGGGGCTTACCTTCCGGGTCATCTCGGATCACCAGCAGCCCATTTCTGCACACGACTTTGCCTGTGGTGGCATCGATGAAGATCAGCGATGGAATGTTGGAAATTCGGTATTTGTTCCATAGTTTAAGCTATAAGAAAAAAAGAGGAAGTTGGTCAGGCCCACAACCCCTTCGCAAATTCATCGGCAAGTCAGCAGGGGCTGTTTTGTTCTGTTTGGCCTTTCTTTGCATCGCTAGAGCTTAGTGCAGTGCCTGGCACACAGTAAGCACTTAATAAATGCTTGCTGGGTGACTGACTGCCTGCCACCTGAGATATGCAAGCTTCTGCGGCGGGGACACAGAGATCAAAAGATCTCAGAAGTCCTCCACTCCAAGCCAGATATGAAAGAAGAGTAGTAAGAAAGCCCCTGATATTAGAGGAGCTAAGGACTGATATACCCACATAATGATAATGCAAGTTATTTCAAGCTTTCCAGGCCTAAGAGGAGAGGAACAGGCAGCTATGAGATGAAGGAAAATTTGAAAGATACACCTCCTGGATAGTAATAATCACTGTCCTTAATATCATATTGTGCAACAAGTCTGTTTGGCTGTGGGCCAGTTAAAGCCATCATTCCCTTAGCCTTCAGTAAGCCTCCTAAAGAGTTCACTCACCCAAGGCAAGTATAGTCAATCAAAGACATGATCAGGAGATCTGATTGCCCTAAGCACAGATAAGTAAAGAGTGGTTAACCTCTTTCTTCTCTCCCCCTCAGGTCCTCCATCCATAAAACCCGGTGAAGAATCAGCCATCTTTCAAACAAAATCAGATCCCTGGCCAGGTGAAGAAGAAAGGAAAGGAAGCATTTCATTAGCTCTCCACGTCATCACATACAGCAAAACGGTCTTCAGTTTCCCAGACATGCTGTTAGCCCAGTGTGGAAAAGAAACAGGCTAGTCAAGCAGAAGGTTAAATATTTAGATGTTCCCCAATTTCTCTACTTGGGAAATCTCCAGCTATTAGTTGTATTCTATTCAACTCGGTAATAAACAAAGGAAAGAAACAGTCTAGGAGCTGACACAATCTCTTAATCTCTGACACTCAAAACTCGACATTTTGTATTTGCTGATGTTTGACACTGGCCATGCAAACTGGCAGAAGTCCAAAGCCTCAAAGACATCAGGCTGAAAAGCCAAGGATAAAAATTCAATTCAATTAACATCTGTTAAGTGCCAATGGTAATCATGACAGAGATGTAAAAGACAAAATATGAAGCAGTCCCTGCCCTCAGAGGGCATTCTCCTGGGGTGAAATTCCTCACTTTAAATTTTCCAGCTTCTTTCAAAACTCAGCTTGTGGAATTTCTATTTTATCCTAAAGTAAGCAGAGAAGCACTGAAGATGTTTAAAAAGCAGGAATGTGGTAAGCTGGTCAGACCAGTGCTTTATGGAGATTATCCTGGCCACTGTGCAAAAGACACTTTATTGAGATGACAGACCAGGGCAGGGAGGCTGTTACAAGAGGCCCAGGGGAGAGGCGATGAGGGATTGCACCAGACTGGTGGCTGGGGCAGTGGAGAGAAGGGGATGCATGTGACAGATGTCAAGCATCAGCAGAACTGGGTGGGGAGGGGCAGAGGAGAATCTGGCATGCCTCCTGAGACCACCATCACCCACCAAACCAGGGCAGCCCCATATTCTTTGCAGGCTCACAAGAGCCTCAGATAAATCACTGAATCTTAGCACTAGAAGAGAGGCTAGGAGTTATCTCATTCAACCTTGGTCTAAAACACAAATCTTCTCTAGGACATCATTCATTAGCTAGCCTCTTGACTTGACAACCTCCAAGTATAGGGCGCTTACTATGTGGTATGGCAGAAAGAGTCCTGCGTGGGAAAGGAAACCTGGGTTTGAAGCCTAGCTCTGAATGGACAAATCAGAATCCGAGTCTCAATTTCTGTATCTGTGAAATGGAAACAACAACCATTCAGATTTATAGAATCCCAACCTCCCTTTCTGAGGCTTATAAATTCTTCTCCACAGCCCAGTGAGATGGGCAGCATGTACATCATAATCTTGGGGAGCACCTCCTTTTCCCTTCAGGATAGCTCCAATTGTTAGGAACAATTGAACTTTGGCCTTTTCCCCCTCTCTCTCTCACTCCCAGTCCTAGTTCTGTGCCCTGGGACCAAGCACCACAAGTCTGCCTATGCTCTGGAGGCAGCATACAGAGTGGGCCTCATAGCCAGGAAGGCCCGAGTTCGAGGGCAGCCTCTGTGATCCTGGACAAGTCGCTTAACCTGTTAGTGCTCCTGACGTGCCAGGTCCAGGGAGTTTCCTCTTGTTTTCTAATGAGATCCAGGCCCAATCCTGTCCTTCCCAGCCCATTCTGAAACCCACGGTATTAAATGAAATCAAAGCTACCAATTCACCTACAAAACCGAAAGAAATGAAGAAAAGCCACAGAGCTTCCTCCTTGGTGTAGGTGCCGCTGTGGTGAGGGTTTTCTCTGCCAGCTCTGCAGGATGCAGGCTGCTCTTCAGACAACACAGCTACTCGGGCAATGATGCTGTCGGGAATCAGCCTGATGAAAGGTGTGGCTTTCTCACAGAAAAAGAGCTGCCCTAAATCCACCGCTACACAGCACACACGAAGGAAACCTTTGTGTTATTATAAACCTGCTGTTGTTATAATACTATTGGGTTGTTTTTTTTAATCCAATGGCAGTTTAGGGATCAGGGAAGAAAGGGAGAACAGGAATGCTCCAGAGGATTACTCAAAAATAAAGGTTAGGCAGCTTCCAGCTGGTTACCTTGGAGGGCAAAGGCAAAAGGATGCCTCAACTACTACAGCTGGGGTCCACAAAGAGCACCGAGCCAAGGCTTCCTTCACTCCTGTTTTTTTCCTAGGGCCAGAGAATCTGGCTGGCTCCCTAGACCAGAAGTGACGTCACACCCACTTAAAAAACCAACACTGCAACATTCCAGTGAAACCCCAGATGGGATTCAGTTTAAATGCCCTGAGAGAGATGCGGTTGAACAACAAAACACTACAATCTCAATTAGGACGCAGGGATTAGCTGTCATTTAAACCCTGCTATAAAGAATAGGCTTGGAATGCAAGCTAGTGGTTGTGAAGACCTAAACATATTAATTTTGATGTCTGAATCAGAAAGCGCATGGAAGAGCTGTTTGCAGCCTGGATCAGCCCATTCTGATGATTCTCTGGGGCACAAGCAGGCTGATTGGAAATGAGAAACGCATGCCATCTGAAGAGCACTTGCCAAGATTCGCCACTGCCCTGGTTAATGGTCTCCTTCAATCTGGCGTGGTTTTCTAAAGTATACTGAACATTGGCGAAAATAGCTCTTAACAATCATTTTAGTGCACGTCTGACCTCAGTTCACCTCACCTTCTAAGGAATTCAGTTGTGATGGCTACTTCCTTTCTCTACTTTTGTTTCTGCTGCTCTAATTTTCTCCCATCCTTCAGGTTACTCCTTAAATTAAAATCAGCCTTTCTGCCTTTGTGCAAAATAGAGGATGCTACAAGCAAGAGAGGGTAGAGAGCTCAAAAATTCTCATTGAGCAGCTACTGTAACCTGGGAATTCTTCAAACTCAGAGATCTGCATGTTACCTGAGTCTTGTGATTTACACCTGGCTTTTAGGCCCCAAGCCTAGGTGGCTGACTATCCATAGAAGCATCCCTGAGGCCAGAGATATCTGCTGTCATGTGGCAGCATATTCTCTAGGGCTTAATCAATCTTCTGGGCAATGAGTTCTTCCTCATTTCGCTCCTTACTTCCATCCTTTGAGAGATTCCTGATTTTGCTGGGATAAGGACTCCCCACACGGACAGCTCACAATCTCTTTTCTCCTTAGGAGATGGCTTTGTGAAATGCTGGGGCCAAGATATTCATTGCCTAAGGACCAAGCCTCTGTTGGGGAGCCTTATTCACTCAGCCAGACTGTTCCTCAGATAGTACACACTGAATTTGCTTCTGGGACTCACTTAAAGCTTGTCCAGCCTGGTGGGACCTGATAGAGCTTGTGATCCATTTGCATGGCCTCTGGGAACCCAGTGCCATCCCTGTGATGTAATAAGGTTATGGAGGAATAAATAACAGTAACAACCACTGTTTATGTAACACTTCAAGGTTTGCAAAGTTCTTTACATAGATCTTCCTTATTCAATCCTAATATACTATAGGAGGCACCCAGGAAATATTTGGTTTCTCTCTCTCACCTCATGCCTCTGACTGTTGCCAAGTCTTTGTCCATTCTATTCCCATAGCATCTCCTCTCTATCTGCACACAGCCACCACCCGTACTCAGGGCCTCTTCACCTGGTGACTAGTCCAACAGCCTCCTCATTGGTCTCTCTCCAGTATTCCAATCTCCCCTACACACAGTTATAAAGGAATTTCCCCAAAGGACAAATCTGACCATGTCAGTCCCCCATGTAATAAACTCCAGTGTCCCCCTCAACAAGAGGATCACATATAAATTATCCTGTCTGGCATTTAAAGCCCTTTCTAACCTGGCTTCTACCTACTTTTCTGGTCTGATTCTCCATCCTTCTCCTTCATGCCTTCGTTGGTATGACAGACTGGCCTTCTTGCTGTTCTCCATTCATGCTGTCCCACCTCCCATCTCTGTGCATTTGCACACTAAAGCCGGATCCCTTGCCTGAAAGCCTTCCCTCTTTACCTCCGCCTTTTAGAAGCCCTGGTTTCTTTCATCTTTTTAATTCTAGTTTCCTTCAAAGGTCAATTTCAAGGCCCCCTCCTCCATGTGGCTCCATGGAGGAGATGACATCTCTGCTGTGCCTTGAGGGAACATGAGGATGCTGAGAGCTGAAGATAAGGAGGGATCTGTCTTTCCAGGCAAGGAAGAGGGTTTTTGCAAATGACTAGGGGCAGGAGATGGAACATTGAGTTTTGGCAACAGTGTGGCTAGCATACAGAATGCATGAAGGAGGTGGAAGGGCATGTGTGATATGCCAGATTTCTCAAGATCTTAAACACCTTCTCTTTACAAAATTCTTTTTTTGCTGCAACTTCTACCCACTCCCCCTTGTCTCATTCTTCCAGAAGATGATTGGTCAAGTATCCTTGGCACAATGCATAAATTTCCTTTTACACTGGGGCA